CCACTTAGAAGATCCAAGTAGAGAGATAACCCATACTTTCAACAGTGCTACTATAAAGACTAGACTTATAAAATAAAGCTAGAACTTGTAAAATTAGGCAAATATGCCAGTCTTTGAGAAGAAACTGGATGAACTAACCAGGCTGCTGAAATTTCTAGATTTCAGAGAAAAAGGACATATGCTTGTAAACATGTAAACCAAAGATGTATAGTTTTGATCTACCTTTCTGGACTATCTGGAATGGCAGCTTAGTAAAACTTAAATTGAATACCAAAGTAGTAAGAATATGTTATAAAGTCAGTACTAGAATTAGAGTAAATTCTATAAAGACATAGCAGTTTAATAGTATGCTTTAACCACTAGTGCTGGTCTTGGCCATAGTGATATTAGATCAGCTATAAGAATGGGATACAAAAGATTCTGAAAGGTTTAGTACAAGGTTAAAGTTTCAAAGAACTGCTTTAAAAACAGCATATTTTTATTAGTATTAGCCAAAGTTATTGGTAGGCAGAGAAAGGTGGATGGATACAAAAACTAGAGTGTTTAAATAAAAAACACAAGCAGGTTCTAGGTATGGCAGTTAGTATAAAACCTTTAGGCAGACTACTTAAATTAGACAATAACTAAAGTTAAATAAGTGACTAGTTGTACACTCTTTTTATAATTGACCCTTGTGGTTTTAATGCAACTATTAGCCAAATATATTATCAATAAAATCTTAGATTACAAGTATTCACTTTAATATTTAAAAAAAAAACTATTAAATTCAAAATTTTTAAAACCAGGAAAATTATTAGAAAACTCAAAATTTATAAAATTAGAAAAATTATTATCTATTGCAAAATTTATAAAACTAAATAAATTACTGTTTATCTTAAAATTTACAAAACCAGATAACTCATTTTTCACAAAACTAATCAAGTAATTATTTACTAAATTAAATAATTTATTATTCATAAGACTTATAATTCACAAAACTAGAAAACTCAGTTTATAAAACTAAGTATTAGTTATTTTTTATTTTTTATTTGTTACTAATATTGAAGATATAAAAAAGACTAGATATTTGTTTTTTTGTTATAAATAAAATTACAATGTATAGTATTTGCAATATAATAAAAAACAAAAATTAGATAAAGTTAAAAAAATTATTATGAAGTTAAAAAAATACTATTACTATTGTTATTTGATTATATCTCAATATTAACATGTAATCTTAAAATTACTAAATTATGAAGTTATATATAATGCTAGTAATGATTATTACTAGCAATAAATAATTAATTTATTAATTAAGGATATTTTTACACAGTAATTAATTAAATTTGAATTCGAAATTTAGTTTAATAAAGATTAAATATATTGCTAGTTTTAATTAATTAAATGTTGCTAAATATAATACATTATATTTAAAAAGATATTTATTAGATTTATAAATACAATATTATTAATATTAGTTGTCTTATTAAGCATAATACACCAACTTAATACATTTAAATTAAAATATAATTATACAAAAGTTTATATATTGCCATCTCAGAATTCAATAAGTCTGTTGCTAAACTAAGCCAACTCTTATGTAACCTATAGTGGCTAAGTCAAAACAGACATGTTAGATTTGGCAAGTAAATTATTGTCCATAGGTAAGTACTAGTCTCTTGTTTTGAGTCTTTTCTTTAACCTACTCTTTTACTAATTTTTATCTTCTTCATTTGTTTCAACTAGAATTTCACTATGTTAAATCAGAGTTAGAACTCTTCTTAGGGCTTTTATTATAATTTACTAGGCACATAACTAGGTGAGCAATTAATTACAGATTTAGTTTATTGTTGAAGTTATCAGATATTGTTAAAGATAAGATTTATAATAGTAACTAGTTATATAAGACAACACTTTTACTTGTTTATAGGTTAGGTAGTTAGTTTATATTTTGCAATTGTAATTACTGGCCTTTTGGCCTGAGTAAATTGCTTTTTATTTATAATAAACATTTTTGTCTATTTACATTATAAGATTGTCTAATATATTAAACATATCTAATATTTCATATATGTCTAATTTATCATATATATCATACTTATTTAATATATTCACTTATGCAATATAGCAAATATATCAGATATATCTAACATATTTGATATATCTAACATATTTGACATTTCTGATATTTAGAATCTTTGTCATATATACTGGTTACATTTTTGGATCTTATATTTTTTTCTTATTTAAGGTCAAATTTTATAAGATGCTTTCAATTATTTGTTGGATATCAACTGTTTTTAACCAGTAGATATCCATGAAAGTTAACTTTTCTATCTAAGATATTTGCTTAATTTTATACATAGAGAATATATTATAGGTTCAAATACAAGTTGTATTGATACCAAGTTTCAGAATTTGCCCTAATAATGTTAGCTTCTGTTGACATAAAGCATTCTAAGATAATATCTGAATACAAGTGTATTGATTTAGTTACCAAATCTTATAGTCCTTTTCAGTTAGTTGAGAGTGTTTGTCAAACATATAAAAAGTTATGTTTTTTATTGAAAGATAGAAGCAGTAGGTCAACATCAAGTGAGAGAATAGAAGTGATATCTTTGATAATTTTATTGATAGTAATTGGCATAGTTAGATTTCAAATTAAATTAACAGACTCTTTTTTACAACTTTCACCCTTTTATCATTTTTACTTATCAACATTGTTCAATTATTTTTTTACCTCTTTTATTTCTTCTTTCTTTTTTGTATTGCATATGGTCTAGACCATTATTAACAAATTTTTACCCATCCTCTTGCTAATTATAATAGCTTTTCAGTAACTTGATATTAATTGATATAGTAATCATATTGCCTTCTATTGTTTGTAGCTTGAACATATTATTGTGAAGCATCTTATATATGCAATAAGAGCTCTTTTATTTTGGCTTCAACTTTATGCTCCTATTATATTTATTAGCAGCTTTGTATATAAGGACCTTATTTTCAATATACAAATTCAAAAGTGGTCACATTCTTGCATTATGCCTCATCTTCTGTTTGTTTTGAGCATGTTAAACTTATACTACTGCTTCATGTTGGACCCTAGATAAGGTTTTTATTAGTTTCTACATTTGATCAATAATGGTCTTCTCCACTAAAGTTCTTATACCACTTTGTAGAATCAATTGTCAAGCTTTATGTCCATGGGTCAAATAAAACAGTATTATTCTTGTCATCAAGTATCGTATAGCACAGTATACAAAGAGTATTACTAAAATGACCAAGTTCCAATTGGTAATGTTTTTTATCAATTTTGCTATTGCTTTGCACAAGTTCTTGCTGAATATTTTGACCAGCCTGTTCATTTGGAGGTAATATAAAGTAGACAACAAGTGTTTGATACTGAATTTCTCTAACAAATTATCTACTAGCTGTTTCCAAAAATGAGTATCTTTGTTTAATAGTATTTTCTTTTAACAGCTATACTGGCATACAATTTGTTCAAATATAAAGTTAGCTACTGTTAGTGCATTGGCAGATTTGATCACTTTTGCTTCTGGCCACTTTATAATTTAATCTGTAGCAATGACAATATATTACTTGTTTTGTGAAGTTATTGAGAGTGAACTAATAATATCGATTCCTATTTGATAAAATAGTATAAATACTAATATTAAATGCAGGAGTTCTTATAACTTATTTTTGCCACTTCTTTGATATTGGTTACAGATCTTTATATATTTTTGTATGTTCTCAAATTGTCAAGGCCAAATGTATTTAGTTTAAATTTTTTGAAACATTTTCTTGTTATCAAAATGTCCTCTTAACAGATAGGCATTAGCCAAAAATAATATTGGTCTTATTTCATGTCTTTGTGCAATTGTACTAATTTTGTTTAGTCTTGTTTGCTTCTTTTATATTATTCTTCTTTGATAGGTGGGTTCTAAGATATGTAATAAATAATTATTCTGTATATATTGCTTTATGTGATTATATTTTACTATTTTCATAATTGATAAATTTTTGTTTCAATAGGGCCAAGACACTGACAATCTGAACTGAATTTCATTTACTATCAGATTTGGTGTTTTTTTTATATAGCTATTTCTATTTTTGTACTCAAATCTCAATTGTTTCAGTAGTTTATCTTTGTAGTCATTACTACTATATAATCTAACAATTGAATTTCTGTCTAGAAAAATTTATACTTATTTATATTAATTTTTTACCAGCTGACTCTAATCATCTAAAGACTTTTCACAAATGTATCAAGTGTTTGAAGAATGTTTGTGAGTATACAGTTATATTATTAATATATACTGCAGTAAATTTTCTTATATAGTTAGCTAATACTTTGTTCATTAGTCTTTGAAATGTGACAGAGGCATTGCATAAACTAAAAGGCATAACATTAAATTTGTATAGGCCAGATTTTAATATAAAGGCAGTCTTCTCTCAATTCTTCATATGTACTCTAACCTGCTAGTAACTGTTCTTTAGGTTTAGACTAGAGAACTATTTTGCTGTTCAAAGGTTTCTAGTAAGTCATTGATTCTGAGTAAAGGGTATATGTTCTTTTTGGTTACTGAATTCAAGTGATAATAGTCAATACAGAGCTGTAATTTGCCTTCTTTCTTGGGAATGACAATGATTAGTGAAGCCCACAAACTGTTTGATTTTCAAATCAAGTCTCATTCTTCTATATCTTTTAATTCTTTCTTGATAAATTCTTGTTCATTTAATGCATTATGATATGGGTCTTGTTTAACCAATTTTGTATTTTCAGTATCTATTTGATGAGTTACCATTTTTGTCTCTCCTAATTCCTTATTATTGTTAGTAAACAGACTCTTTTCATAATAGAGAAATTTACAGGCTTCTTTTTGTTCTTCTCTATTTAGATTTTAGTCTTAAACAAAGTGTTTTAAATAATTATCTACTATTTGCTCTTGAGATTCTTTTTGGCTTGCAAGGAATTTTTTAATCATTATAAGGTAAATAGCTGAGCTTTTAATGTTCTTTTATAGATTTTCATATAAATTCATTTCATTCAAAGTGAACTCTTCTGTAATATATCCTTTGATTTTGTTTAGCTCTTCATCCTTATATGTGAACTTATCAAAGATATTACCACTTTTGTCTCTATTATCCATAATTCTTTCCTTTTTAGGCCATTTCAGATCACTAGTTTTTGTATATTATATTATTACTTCAATGGTTTTGCCTTGATATATTAGGATTAGGTGTCTTTTATCAAAGTTGAGTCTTGCCTTTGCCTTCAAAAACAAATTGGTCCCTAGAAGTAATGTTTCATCAGAGAATTAGATAATTTGAAAGTTACTAGAAATAACAGCATCTTAAATTATAATCTTCATGCTATTAATCTTTCTAAGTGCACTGGTTTTCACTTCTATTGCTGTAACTATGATAGTTAATAATTTTTTATAAATATGCAATTTCAACCTAGTTATTAGCTTCTTTGTTATTATTCTAAGGTGGCTCCAAAGTTTAATACAGCTACTACTAGGTTTTCTTTTATTCTTATATAACAAAATTGCAGAGGTAGTCTGTTTGATGTCTTTAAATTTTACATAACTGGCTTTTTGGACTTGCAGTAGAGGTTGATATAGAATTTTTGCCAAGTTTTATTATTGGTTCAGATAATGCAGCATTTGCCTGATAGTAGTGCTAGATTTTATAGCTAAAATATTATTAGCTACATTATACAAGAGAAATTTATCAATTACTAATAGATCTTGTTTCTGTTTTGGTTTTCTTATTAGCACTAGTTCTTTATAATTTATTAGATTAGAAACTTCTTCTAAATTGACCAAGTAATTTTTTTTTTGAGTTTTACATTTTCTTACCTGATTTTTTTATTTAGATGCAGCTTGTTCCTGTACTCAGTTACCATAATTACTACTATTATTATAAGGTTGATATCAGTTATTATCTTTAATAATAAATACTTTATCTTCTTTCTAATCATTGTCATAATATCTATTTGAATTCTTTACATAATTACTAACATATTTTTTTTTATAATCTTTTCTAGATTTTTTTTTTGAAAGACAGTTGTAAGCAATATAATCAGTTTCTTCACAATTGTAACAGATGAAGTTTCTTTACTATTCTCTTAATAAGTTCTTTTAGGTATTTTGACATTTCTTGTAATTACGTACTTCTTTTAGTCAGTTAGAACTAGACACTGAGTTGGATAATGATGCTGCATAATTCAAGGTTAGTTGTTCTATTCTTTTAAATAGATTTATTATCACCTTTTCAATTCTTTTTTGTTGAACCTTTTTGTGGGTCTGTTTGTCTTAATATTCATCAGCCTCAACTCTGTAGATGTTAACAATAGCTTTTTCAAACATTTTAGATTTGAACACTGCAATAAACATGATAGTTTTTTCTCATAATCCATTCAAGAACATTTAAATTATGTATGCATCAGGTAATTCATTTTTAGGATCAACTCTTTCTATTAGATATTTAAACTTCATGGCATATGCATTGACCTTTTTAGCTATTTGTTGTTAGAGGTTGTTAAGATTTATTTGTCATCAATGCCATTTTTTGCAAATGATAAAGAATTCTATAAACAAATAATAAACACTTTTCACTTAATTATTATCATCCTTCTATTGGTTCAAAGCATTCTTGTTTCCTTTGTGCCAATCTGCAGCTAACCTTCTTAAGTATTCTAAATAATCTTTAACATTTGTTTATTGAACTAATTATTGGCAATCATGGCTTGTTCAAATGCTTCTAATCTTTAATAGGATTCTTCTTATCATTTTTAAAGAATAACTTGATTTTTATATAAGTTAATTCTCTTTTTTTAGTTGGATCTTTTTTCAAATCAGTAATAGTTGTTGATACTTTTATAAACAATATTATCAATTCATCTAAGAGTTCTTTTAGCTGATTCTTATTCATTTCATATTTTCAACTAAGTATGCTCTAAATTTTTGTTACTTGTTCTATTCTATTTCTATTACTAATTCTATTTCTTTTTTCTCTCTACTCTACTATATTCTATTCTTCATATGTCTTATATTAGGAGAAGTAGTAAACACTTTCTTTAATATTAAATCTTACAGTTACTACCAAATTGTCATCTTAAAATTTAGTGAATCTGTTGCTAAACTAAGCTAACTCTTATATAATCTATAATTACTAAGTCAAAACAAACATATTAGATTTGGCAGTGAATTATCATTTATAGATAAGTATTAGTCTCTTCTCTTAAATCTTTTTTTCAATTTACTCTTTTACTAATTTTTATATTCTTTTGTTTGTCTTAACCAGGATTTCATTTTATCAAATTGGTATTGAAACTCTTTTCAGGTTTTTTGTTATAGTTTAGCAGGCATGTGACTAGGTGAGTGATCAATTACAGGTTTAGTTTATTGTTGGAGTTATTAGATATTGTTAGAGATAAGATTTATAATAGTAACTTGTTGTATAAGGCAACACTTTTACTTGTACTATGGGTTAGGTAGTTAGTTTATTGTTCAGAATGTAGCAACTGACACTTAATTTCTATGCATTATATGATACAAAATTTACATTTTTGATGCATTTTGATTATGAAAAATTTCTTTTTAATACATCAGTATAATTATCTTAATCAAATATATCAATATTATAATTTGGAAATTTTTTGTCTGTCCACATATATGATACATGATTGCAGAATTATTTTTGAACTACAAACACAACAAACAGGTTATTGATTAGTAATATAAAATTTATAAAATATTTATACTTTATTTATTTATACTGTATTTATTTATACTTTATTTATTTATGCTCTGGACTTATATTGGTTTCCAATTTCTAGTATTTTGCAATTGTAATTACTGGCCTTTTGGTCTGGATGAATTGCTTTTTATTTATAATAAATATTCTTGTCTATTTACATTATAAGATTGTCTAATATATCAAATATGTCTAATATATTATATATGTTTAATTTATTGGATATATCATATTTATTTAATATATCATACTTATGTGATATAGCAGATATATCAGATATATTAAACATATTTGATATATCTGACATACCTGATATTTCTGATATTTGGGATCTTTATCATATATACCAGTTATATTTTCAAATCTTACAATATTAATTTATAATTAAATAAAGTTATTTAATATTTAAAGATTTATAAAACATATTTATAAAAAAAATTAAATAAATTTGTAACTGTATATTGCTTAAAAAAAAACTTAAAATTAGTTATTTTTTAAAAAATAAAGGTAAGGTCTTGTCAATATTTTTATTATTAATTTAAAGTAGTTATAAATATTTATATTATTTTTAAAGTTAATATTTGTAGTTAAGATTAATCATTAAACTGCTAACTATACTGCTGCTACTATTTATATAAAATAAATAAATAAATTAAAAATTACATAGAAGAATAAAAGTTTAGACTAATTTATCTGTAATATAATTTACTAAAGTAATTAAAGTTTATTTAAATTTGAATATTTAGTATATAATTTGATGATATGCTTTATTTAATTTATAAAATAAACTAAATATTAATTTTTTAAATTGTTTAGTCAATAGAAGGATATGTATTAGAATAGGGTACATATTATTTTATTAACCATTAATTTACCAACTTTTCATTTTACTAATAATTAATTTATTGGCAAGTTTATTTTACTAACAACTATTTTACTAACAGCCTATTTTACCAACTAGTTTTTTTTAAATATTGCACTAAATTGCATTAATATTAACTCTAATACTAACTGATCTTAACAAAAATGATCAGAATTACTTTATCAGTAAAGTGACTATCAGTAAAATAACTGTTAGTAAAATAAACTTGTTAGTGAATTAATTGTTAGTAAAATAAGTTGTTATTAAAGTGATTATTAGTAAAATAAGAACTACCTATTAGAATAATTATATAATTAATTAGAAAGTCTGTAAAAATATAATATAATTTCTTTAAGAACATGTATATCTAGTAGTTAAGTTAATAATCTTAAAAATTAGTTAGTAGATTAAGAATAAAGTCTATTTTCTTGCTTTTTTAATTAGAAAATAAATACACTATATTTTTCATAATTTTTTATATAATTGTTTATTAATATTAAAAAAATAGTAATAATAATTTGAAAAACAGTTTTGTAAAAAATATCAAAGTTTTGAATTATTAATAAAAAAGACTTTAGAATAAATTCTTTAAGAATAAAATTAAAATAAAATATGTTTAACAATATATATAGAAAGTTAAAGTAGAATGAAAACAAAATATTATTAACTAGATTATATTTTTAATTAATACTAAAGTCAAATAAGTTATTAAAAATAATTTGTTTAGTAGAATTTTGGATAATTTAATTAAGTAAAGATTAGTTAATACAAGTTTATTAGCAAAAATACAAGTTGAATAAATTATAGTAAGAATATGAGTTAAATAAATTATAGTAAAAATAATTAGTATCAAATATTAGTTTAGATAAATTGTATAATATAATAAGTATATTAGTAATTTATTAAAAAAAATTTTATTTTAAAGATTTTAGTCAATTAAATTTAAAATTGATAATATTATATAAAGTTTTTGATTGTAATTAAAGTAGAATCAAGTAGATTTCTAATTAATATTTTAGTTAAAGTATAATTACATATTATTTTATTTTTATAATACTTATATAATTAAGATATAAGATTTGCAAATTTGTTTAATAAAATATTTTATAAGAAGTTTTATATAATACTATTTCTATTAAAAAAATATAATAAAAATTATAAAATTTATATAGTTAAATAAAAAAATAATGCTAATAAATGTTTTTTAACAAAATAATTTGTTTACTTATTAAAATAATCATTTAAATAAATCTGTAATTTATAAAAAATAATATATATTTTAAATAATTTAATAATTTTAAAAGAATGTGTCAGATAAGTTACAATTTAATTTAAATAACTTATTAGAATAAGTTGAATTAGGTTAATAATTGTTAAATTTAGAAATTACTAATTATAAATTAGTAAAAATGTTAATTACTAAATTGTAAAAAACTGTTAAAAATATAATAAAAAATAAGAAAAACTTAGTTTTATATAATAAAGTTTAAGGTTTTATTTTAGTAAAAAAAAATAATAATTTAGTTATTATTTAAATTTGAATTCAACTAATACTTATTGTATATTGATTAAAACAAAAACTAATTATAAAATCATCAATATAGAAAGATGGTTATTAATAAAATAATTGTAATATAAAATGAATATAAGTTTGTTAATAACTTTACTTTAAATAAAAATTTTAGAAACAGTTAAGTTAATAATTAGAATTGTAAATTAAAAAAATAAAAGTTAAGTATTTAATAACTATAAAGCAGTTAAAATTTAAATAATTAGTATTAAGATTAAATTAGTAATTAGAATTAATTCTGCTAAGAATTATGCTAAGATAATTGCAAAAACTTCAATAGTATAAATTTAATTGATTCTATAAAAATTAAGTTGATATTCTATATATTAATTATAATCACTTATTAATAAGTTGATTTTTTTAATATTAAAAATAAAACCATGCCTTTAAATTTAATTAAAAATTTTTTTTTAAAAAAAACTTGCTTTTAAATTATATATAAAGAATAAAAACTCAGATATATAATCTGCAATCTAAATCTAACTAGTAAATTAATATTTTTTAAAAATTTATACTAATAGTAAAAACTTTTTGATGAGATTTTTTGTTAATATGCATAAAACAATTTTATAAATAAAATTTTAAGCTATAAATATTTTTTTATTAATTTGATTTTTTTGCTCTTCTTTTATATTACATCTGATCTTAAAATCTGATTAATTATTGAAATTTTTTAGATTAGTATTTTAAACTCTGTTATCTTGGTAATCATGTTAGAGTCATTTAATTTTGATCAACTTTATAATTCAGGCCTGAATTAGCCAATCGAAAATCATTCCAGAACAGCCTAAAGAAAAACAAAAAACACATCACCTGTTTAATATCATTCATAATTCTGATCAAACTTGCAGATTATTTGACCACATTTAAAATTGGTTTGTTCTAGATCTGACTAAATGATCAGCAAATTCAACCAGAATTAACACCAATATGCAGAAAAAAAGTAAAAAAAACATGATTAAAGATGATAAGAGCTCAATTTTACACATATAAAGTAGATATTTTATATATATAAACACGAAACCTAATGTGTAGGAATTGAGGCTATGCAGGCTACATAGACTGTACTGTAGATTCAAAAAATCTTAGATTTTCCCATCTCTATTCATAGTTACAAAAAAAAAAGAATTAAAACAAAACCAGGTTCTTATACTGCTACCACCTGACATTACATCTAATCACATAGTCAAACGTCAAGTATTTAAGCTTATTATGTGTCATTGCATCATGGGAAATTGAAAGTTATTAAACACTAAGAAAGATCATCTAATATTATGGTCCTGGGTTCGGTTACGGTTATAACCATTTAGTCGCAGTTATTAACCGTAACCGATACTAGTCAGAGTGGCTTGATTAACCGACACAGCCGATGACACTCATATTTTCCCACACAAGCATGTGTGAATTCATAGGCAGAAGTTTGTCTGATTGGCTAATAAATTCAATTTAATTTTACATTATTTATACAGTTTAGAGTACT